TACATGACTTATCGCCATTGCAGAAAGACCCTGACCAATCTAAATTGTTATAAACATATTAATGTCTATGAGTATCCCCTACCCTTGTAGGGATACTATGCACACTGTACTTTTTGATAATTACAAAATGTTTGATACATCATTTCATTCCTGTAATGATCTAATTCCTCTTAATTTAGGTCAATAAAATAAATTTGAGTGGTTTAATATAACAACAATAGTTTTGGAAATGGGGAGATCGTGATTTGGACTTTCTTTTCTAATTCATCAACTTTACTCAATTGTTAGCTCTTATCTTTTTCAAAAATAATTTTTGCAATGAGCTTATGGATCTTATAAGTATTCAAATTATAAACTTATTTTCCCTATAAATAAGAAATGCCATAAAAGGAAGGATCAAACTATAACTCAAATCAACTATCTAAAAATATACCATTTGGACCATAAAACGAAGAATCTTATAAGTTACAAGACCATAAAAGAAAAAAAGCCATACCAAGTCATCTCTAAATACCCTACAATCTAAAAATTACATTCAAGGAATGATCAAGCTATAACTCAAACTAGTTCAACCACCAACGCCAAATTAAAAAAAAATACCAAGGAAATAGAAAAAAGACACAAACACTCTCAACCAGATCAAAATATCGATTCAATATTGATTAATCCAAATGATAGGGTTATGAAACCATTTTGTGAAAGTGCAAGAATTCCCTACTAATCTACTTAAAAAATATTTTCAAGTAAAAAAAAAACTTTTTTGCTCCACATCTTTCACGTTTAGTCAAGAACTAAAAAACACAATCTCATTTCGAGCCATCCAGTCCAGACCATGACATGCCTACATTATAGAACCCCAGCCCCAATAGACTCCATCCTACGATGTAAAGAGAGGAAATTCTAAAAAAGAGTCCTAGGATTCCTAAGAAGAGCAATATGCCACCCAACTACCTGAAAATCCTATATTAGACAACTTTAATTAAGTTACAACTCAATACATTTTAGGCTCAAACTGAACTCTAAACATTTCATGCTCAACTCTAAAAGTATCAAATACCTCAAACTCAACTCTAAAAATATGAAATATTCCAAACTCAATTCAAAACATTTTAGGCTCGACTATAAAAATATCAAATAACTTAAATTCAAGTTATTTATAAATATATTCAAATTCTTTAAATGGCTCCAAGGGTTTCCCAAAATCCTTGCCATAACTCTAAAATTGTCTCACTTCACAATAACACCAAATATTATAGGCTTATGATAAAATTATGAACTCTTCACTTTAAAAGTTCTTTAAACCCACTTTCAAACACAATTTATTGCATCTTGCTCGAAGTTACGAAATTTTAGTTCCATTCATTTCAGTTTAGCCATATCACAATATTTCCTGCATAAAATCTAAAATTAAGTGTCTTACTTCACAATATCACCAAAAATATAGAATTTTAATAAAATTATGAAAATCTATAACCTAAAAATTCCTCAAGCTCTATTTCAAACATAATTGATTTCATCTCGATCGGAGTTACAAAACATTAGTTACGCCTTAAATAAGATGACCCATGCAGGACTAAAATTTGAATGCGTCTTTGGTATAAAATCAGGTAACTGCTACTATTGTATAACTCCTAGACCCATTTTCCTCACTTCAACAGAAAGATTATCGCATTAGCTTTATAACACAACTAACATCACCTCAAACGAACTTATGAAACACAAGTTACGAATGAAACAAGACGATCAACCTCCTTCCATGTTTATCTACAATTTTCTACATTTTTCTCCCCATTGAATAGATCCAAAACTCACATTTTTGCCTATTTATGTTCTAATCTCCCCAACACACACCGATAAATAAAACCCTAACCAATATGACTGAAACATCATAGATTTAACATGATATCACATCAACATCCCAAATTCAATCATTTAAGGATGAAACATCCTAATTCTCGCCTTATCATAAGGCATCAATAAGGAAAATATTAATTCAACTTTCACCTTATCACAAGGCGTCAACACAATATCTCATAAACTCAAAAGTATAATCAACTTGATATAAAAGAAAAAGCAAATTATATTAACCGCCTTAGAAAGGTTCTGCTCAAACCTTCACCGACCTCAAACATCACCAAAGAGGAAAAACAAAGGGAAGAAGGAAGGATGGTAAGGAACTTTCGCCATGCATCTACTTAAACACCCATACATGAGTAATTCTCCTCCTTACCTCGAATTCGAAGAAACTTGAAGCTTTTCCTATGGGATTTTCTCTCTACTCCTTCCAAAAGCTCCTTTTAGTTTTTCTCTCTTCTATCCCTTGCCTCTTTCACAATTTTTTCACGTACTGACAAATTCTCTGTATTTGTCTTTCTTAAACAATAAAACCTAATTCTCCTTTATTTTAATTAATTTCTAAAAACTCTCCTCAACTCTCTATAACTCCACCCACCTTCCTAATTTCTTTAAAAGTCTATTTTATTGCCCCAAAGCTAATATTATAATATTTTCTCTATTAAATAAATAATTAAAATTTTATTAAATCCAATTTTCACTAAACCATAATTTCCCACATCTACACTAATTTTGAAACTATAAAACTCTACCAAATAATTACCAACTTAAATAATTAAACTAAAAGAACTCCAAAACCCGATTTAAAAATATCAAAAATCGGAGTGTTACAGGGACTGTCCTTGGAGACAGAGGATGTGGATAGTACTATAACCCCACATTAGTCATACGAGAATATAAGAAAATATCATACCACGAATCTCGAGAAAGTAGGTAGTCAACAATCTTCCTTACTCAAGGGGAAACGATTACTTCCTCTAAGGGTTTCTCAAACCCTAGGTCCCAGAGTTTCTATAAATACTTCTCCCCTAATGGAAGAAATGAGGAATCATATCTTACATAGAATACCCTAAGCATTATATTGATATATAAAGCCTCTAATCTTATGTGACTATGTACTCTAAAACCACTGAAATCGCCATATAACCACCATATAGGGCTTCTCGCCATTGTGCGCAGACCCTAATTGTTAGACGACGACAATGATCTAGAAGGAGGGTTGAATAGATAACTAATTCCTAAACAGAGTCGGCGCTTAAATGTTATTTAGTTTTTAAAATTTTATGCGGAAGCGGCCAAGGAACTACGATCGTCTAAACGAACTGTTACCAAAAAAATCGGATATGCGATAAGTCTAGATGAAATATCGACTCCGATGAGAGAAAAACTGAATCAAAAATTTGAACACCGATCAATAAAATTTTATTCACTCAAAGTTGTGCAATTTCCAATAACTTGTTAAAAATAAACTCAAATTGAAAACAACCCAAAAGGTTTGTGTTTGATCAATTTTTCGAACATTTGGTGTGCGACACACTCCAAGTGAAATTCTACAACTAATGGTAGTGCAGAACTTTTCCACTTACAATCAAAAGGAATGTAATGAGCTTTCAAAAATATTTTTCAACACTACACTATACCAGAATTTTACTGAGCAATTTGATTGAACACAAACATTAAAATTCAGAAATGGAATAATAGCAAAAGAGGGAACAACACCAAATTTATTGAGGCAGTTTCCCCGTTGTCCTCGCTTGGGGTACGTCTGTCCTCAATTCTAAAAATAGAATTGAGATCTATATAAACCTGTTGCAAATGTTTGTACAACAAAAGCACTACTAATCAAACACTTAAACCTAGTTGTTGATGCTGAAACTATGTCTTCTCTCCCCTAGATTCAAGATGAATCAAGTTCCTCAAATGTGTTGAATAAACCTCTGATTCCAGCTACACGTTTGAGCCACCCAACGGTCTTCAAATCTTTAGCCCGGCTGATGTCAATCACACAGAATTCGAACCCAAATCTTTCTTCCACAATCCTCCGGTTACCGCTACTAGATTGACATAACCACCCGTTCTTCAATCACTTTCGCTTGGCTGAATCTATGAAGAAATGATTTGTCCGCGTGAAAGTTATTACCCAAATCTGATACTAGATGAACTTCGGACGTTTGAGCCACCCAACGGTCTTCAAATCTTTAGCCCGGCTGATGTCAATCACACAGAATTCGAACCCAAATCTTTCTTCCACAATCCTCCGGTTACCGCTACTAGATTGACATAACCACCCGTTCTTCAATCACCTTCGCTTGGCTGAATCTATGAAGAAATGATTTGTCCGCGTGAAAGTTATTACCCACTTCTTTTTAACGGATTTTTTTAACGGAGTATTGAACATTAGAAGACTTCTTTTTTGAATAACATCTTTGTGAGAGACACATCACATATCCACCCAGAACTTTAAGGTGATAGTTGTGTGAATTCTTCCACTTATAAATGCTCAACTCTTCACATTTATAATCAATGTGGAACTCCAACTCACACATGAATTTATTATTCTCAACAGATGTGAGATTTAAAAGAGAAAGATTGAATATAATAGAGATAAAATTTAATGAGATGAGAAAAATCAATGTGTTATTTTATAGTAAGACAATATAAGTATTAATATATATATTTTTAAAACTTATATCTATGCGGATTTAATGGATTACCCACCGTCTATATGTAGTCTTAATAGATAACAGATTTCGTAAGACTGTACTAAAAAACTCTGAAAAAATATGAATTAAGACTTAATCCTATGATTTTTTGAATTGGACGGATCGAACTAAACCATTTTGACATTTATAGTTAATATATTTCAATTAAGTAATTAACTAGGTTCATTAGATAATCCATATAACAAATGTCAAAACTCATTTCCCATTAACTTATATAAGAGTGCTCTAAAGTCAAGTCGTGATAAATTCCAAGTCAGTCAACGAGAGTAGTATATACGCCATAGTGATTAGACTAAATATGACCATAAGCACTTACCAATGCAAGTACTTATCTTTATAAATATTATCATATCTCAATGATGCAAAACGCACTAAAAAAGTAATCCACTTAATCACCCATAATACATACTCTCCAATAACAAAATGAGAACTTGTATAATGTTTCTTATCCTCTTTGCTTGCCAAATGTTGGTAACAATTGCTCTTGTTTTGAGTTCAAACACTGATAAGCTTGCTTTGCTTGCATTGAAAGAAAAGCTTACAAATGGTGTATCTGATTCTCTTCCATCATGGAATGAGTCTCTACATGTTTGTGAATGGGAAGGTGTTACATGTGGTCGTCGCCATATGAGAGTCATAATTTTGGATTTGAGGAATCAAAATTTAGGTGGTACTCTTGGACCATCTCTAGGAAATCTAACCTTTCTTAGAAATCTCACCCTTAAGAATATCACATTGCATGGTACAATTCCAAAACAAATAGGTCGTTTGAAGCGGTTGGAAATTCTCCAGTTAGGTGATAACAATCTTCAAGGAGAGATTCCTCTAGAGTTCGCAAACTGCACAAATCTTCAAGGTTTAGCTCTTCAGATAAACGATTTGTCTGGTAATCTTCCATCAAATATGCATCTTGTTTTTCCAAATCTTAAAGAATTTTTTATAGCAGGGAATCAAATATCTGGAAACTTACCGTCTTCAATATCCAATCTTACCAAACTTCAAAAGTTAGATATATCATTTAATGCTTTTAACGGTCCAATACCTCTTACTTTAGGTCAATTAAATAAACTTGAGTGGTTTGATATAGCCAACAATAGTTTCGGGAGTGGGGGAGCTCGTGATTTAGACTTTCTATCTTCATTAACCAACTGTACGCAATTGTCAGCTCTCATTCTTTTCCAAAATAATTTTGGTGGCGAGCTTCCCGATCTTATAGGAAACTTTTCATCCAATCTTAGTATCCTTCACATGGGCGAAAATCAAATATACGGAGTGATACCGGAACGAATTGGGCAACTAACGGGTTTAACATACTTAAACATTGGAATCAATTTTATGGAGGGAACGATTCCAAGTTCAATAGGAAAACTTGAAAATCTAGTTAAATTGATCTTTCAATCAAACAACTTACATGGTAACATTCCTACTAGTATTGGAAATCTTACTATGTTGATTGATTTATATCTCAATGACAATAAATTAGAAGGAAACATTCCATTTTCTCTAAGACATTGCACCCAACTGAAGTATTTATCGATCTTTCGTAACAAATTGAGTGGTGATATACCTAACAATACATTCATCTATCTAGAAGGTTTAGTAAGTATTCTTTTGGAGAATAATTTTTTAACCGGTCCTATTCCTTTAGAATTTGGTAGCTTGAAACATCTTTCAACCTTGGCTCTAAACTCAAATAAACTTTCTGGTGAACTTCCTAAAGATCTTGGAGATTGTTCAACATTAACTATCCTTTCATTGGGGGGAAACTCTTTTCGAGGAGATATACCTGCATTCTTAGGAAAGTTGAGTTCGCTTGAAATCTTAAACATTTCTTACAACAATTTCTCAAGCAAAATCCCCGTTGAACTAGAAAAATTAACTCATCTGAATACTTTGGACTTGTCTTTTAACAATCTCGCTGGCGAGGTTCCTACAGGAGGTGTCTTTAGCAATTTCACATCAATTTCACTAGTTGGAAACAAGAATCTCTGTGGAGGGGTACCTGAATTGAAGCTTCCCGCGTGTTTGCCCCTCAAGAAACATAAAAGATTTCTCAAAAGGAAAATTGTTTTCATAAGTGTAATTGGCGGGATTTTGATATCTTTCATAGCTTTTATAATTGTTCATTTTCTCACGAGAAAGCTCAAAAGATTACCCTCACATTCTCTTCGAAATGGAAACTTGAGAGTTACTTATCGAGAGCTACATGAAGCAACCAATGGATTTTCTTCATCCAATTTGGTAGGATCGGGAAGCTTTGGTTCGGTTTACAAATGTTCTCATGTTTACTTTGAAAGACCTATTGCTGTAAAGGTATTGAATCTTGAAGCACGCGGAGCAGCAAAGAGTTTCACGTCCGAATGCAAAGCTCTGGGAAAGATGAAGCATCGAAACCTTGTCAAGATCCTAACTTGTTGTTCAAGCGTTGATTATAATGGTGAAGATTTCAAGGCTATTGTTTTCGAGTTCATGCCTAATGGAAGTCTAGAATCGATGTTGCACGACAACGAAAGGCATCTGAATGATAATCTAAGTCTGGAAAAAAGGATGGACATTGCTCTAGATGTAGCTTATGCATTGGATTATCTTCACAATGATACCGATCAAGTTATAGTTCACTGTGATATTAAGCCGAGCAATGTTCTTCTTGACGAAGATATGGTAGCCCATTTGGGAGACTTTGGCTTAGCCAGAATCATTCATGGCGCCGCATGGAATTCAAGTAAAGATGAAGTTGTTTCTTCTTCCACTATTAAGGGTACTATTGGATACGTTCCTCCCGGTAACGTTCTTTTTACTCTTAATAACTATTTATTATCAATAAATCATTAACACAGGAACACATAATTAACACACTGATGCCTCTAATAAAGTGAAAAAATGAATAAAATGAACATGATGAAATATGTTAATGAAATATGTTAATGTGATATCTCTTTCACACTAGCGCCGGTAATAAAGTGAAAAAATGAATAAAATGAACATGATGAAATATGTTAATGTGATATCTCTTTCACACTAACGGATGTAATAAAGTGAAAAAATGAATAAAATGAACATGATGAAATATGTTAATGTGATATCTCTTTCAAATAATTGTCACATTTAGAGATATAGATTATTTATATATATATTAGTACTCATTATATTTATTTTCTTCTAATTTTGTTGTTTCAAAAAGAGTATGGAGCGAGTGGTTCAGTATCACCATATGGAGATATCTACAGCTATGGGATTCTTCTGCTAGAGATGCTCACTGGAAAAAGACCAACAGATAACATGTTTTCTGAGGGTCAAAGTCTACATGAATTTTGCAAGACCAAAATTCCAGAAGGTATCTTAGAGATAGTGGATTCGCGTATACTTATGCCATTTGTTGAAGATCAAACAGGAATTGTTGAAAACAAGATTAGAACATGTTTGGTGTTGTTTGCTGGCATTGGAGTGGCGTGTTCAGAAGAGTTTCCTACTCATCGAATGAGTATAAAAGATGTTATAGTTAAGTTGAAGGAAATTAAACCAAAGTTTCCACGCTAGGAACCATTTCTACTATTTCATGTACATCTCTTTTCTATCCTTCAAGTGTTTTTGTTTTTCTTTTGTTTTACTGTAAACTGCATCTTAGGTTGTTTGCTTTCTTTGACAATTTTATATTTATGAAATTATTAGTTATTTCTTTTTAATAATAAATCTATATTTTATCTCTCAACAAATAATAAATAGTAATAAATTTTTTAACAAATAAAAAAATATTTCAACTATAAAAAATAACAAATAATATTTTAAGAAAAATCACACTTAAAATAAACGAATTGAATGTTTTTATTTGGTGTTGTGAAAGTCAAAATTAAGTCAAGCCAATCAATTAAAAACTCTCATAAGTCAATTCTATTTTAAAGGAAATCTTTTATATCATTTAAATTAGATAATTACGATAAAATTTAAAAGAAGTTAATATTAAACCTATTAAAATAGGTTACACGAACCTAAACGGATCGGCCCTAACGGGTCTCAGACTTTTTAGGATTGTGTTAAAAAAGCTATATCGTAATATGGACGTGAAAATTATTATTCGAGTTCGGCCTTAGATGAGTTTCGAACTACCCAATTCTAAATGCGTTTTTTTAAATAAAAAAATTAAAAATAAAACCTCATAATATTTATTATAAATGAAATTAAAAATTATATTATTTTAAAAATAATACACTTTTAATTACTATATTATCTTTTATAAATTCTAAATTGTATAAAATAGTACTTGAATATTTAACATAAGAGAAACTAATAGAATACGAGTTTGTTGAGGGTTTTATTTTTCACTTGGGGACATTGAATATTGGAAGACTTCTTTTTTGAGCAACACATTTGTGAGACACACATCACATGCTCAACTCTCCATATTTATAATCAATGTGAGACTCTAACTCACATTTTCAAAAGGGAACATTGAACATTGAGAGACTTCTTTTTTAAGCAACACCTTTGTGAGAGATACACCACATATTCATCCAAAATCTTAAGGTGATATGCGTGTCTCCCACTTATAAATATTCAACCTCCACATTTATAACTAATGTGTGACTTCAACTCACACTTGAATTTATTATTCTCAATAGAGGTAAGATTTAAAAGAAAAATATTAAATAGAATATAGATAAAATTTAATGAGGTGAGAAAAATCAATGTATTATTTTATAGTAAGACAATATATATATATATATATATATATATATATATATATATATATATATATATATATATATATATATATATATATATATATATATATATATATATATATATATATATATATATATATATATATATATATATATATATATATATATATATATATATATATATATATATATATATATATATATATATATATATATATATATATATATATATATATATATATATATATATATTTTAAAATTTCTAGTTATGCGGGTCTAATGGGTTATCCACATTTTATATGGGCTAACTCTGATGGATAACATAGTTTTGCTCTTGATACCATAAATTTAGTTAAAAGTAAGATTTTTTTAAACCGAAAATACTAAAAATTATGGTAGTTTTAAAATGTTAAAATTTTTATCGAAAATTTCAAAATTGGTGGTAGTTCATTGGTTTTTTTTTCATTTTTTCTTTTTGCAGTGAAGACCAGGGTAAAGGACGTCAAAATTTGAGGAAATATCACAGATAGAGGGGTAGCCTGGGGTAGGGCCGCTGAGGCATAGTCTTTCCAAACTACAAGTTGGGAGAGTAGTTTTAATTGGTTCTCACTGAAAACAGTTGGTTGCGCGGTCTTGCCCATCCCGTAGCACCAGACGCCGAGCGGTTAGATTATACTTTTAACATAGAGATGATGAACATGTTGTTGAGGTTGTTCATGATGAGGAGGTGCATGGTCATACTGTTATTTACCCAACTGAGGTGACTAAGATGGATGTGGCCCCTACTACTGATGAGGTGTAAGAGACATATGCGACCCCTATTGCTGATGAGGTGATTGCCACAAATGCGACCCCTGTTGTTGATGATGTCGAGGTTACTACTACTAGACAAACATAGGTTAGGGCTTCTGCTTCGACGGAGCCATCTGCGTACACTAATAGAGAGTTCACGTGAGGACCTAGTGATAGATCAATGTTTATCGAGTATGTAGACCATATGGCATACTGATTATAACAACGAAATGTATATATATTTTATTTAACTTTAATTTATTTATTATTGATACTTGATGTGTTGAAACTAGTTGATAATATTTTTAAATTTATTTGTTACAGGATTGGGCCACGCTGAAGGTGACATCTCACAGGTCAAAGATAAAGAACTTCTGTAAGATTCTGATGCCTAAGCATGTCAGTAGGATTGTTGATTTTGGGCTCCTAGCATTTACCGATTACTCACTCACCATGCTTGAAGCTTCACTTATGACTACCTTTGTTGAGTGATGAAACAAGGAGACATCTTCCTTTCATCTTCCATTAATGGAGATGACTATCAGTTTAGATGATGTCTCCTCCTTGCTCCATCTCCCCATCAGCGATAGATTCTTCACCGCTTCTGTTATTAACCAGAAGCTTGCATGTATGACAGTTGTATGGGATTTTGGAGTTACTGAGGAGGTCGTGCTAGAGGAATTTGATTTTAATAGGGGAGCTTACTTTAGGTTGTTTTGGCTTCGAGACAAGTATACCGAGCTTGTGGAGGTACAAATGTATGAGAATGCCGCAAGGGTGTACATGATACATCTAGTAGCATGTACTTTCTTTGCGAATAAGTCTTATGTTTATATTAATGCTCGGTACTTGTGAATGTTCAGTACCTTTAGCGTACCAACTGGGTTGGGGATGTGCTGCATTGACTATCATATATGTAACACTTGGAGTTGTAACTGCCTTTGAAACCAGACAACTTGCTGGCTATTTAAGTATATTCTAAGTAAACTAAAAATTATTATTTATAGTTTAGCTCTTATTTAATTATTATATATGACATTTCTTAATGTGTCTATGTTCTTTTATTAGTGCTAGACATACGAGCATTCCTCCACCATTTGTGATAGAAGGGTGCAGCATAACCCTGCGGGAGCCCCACAGGTGAGGAAATGGAAGGCCATGAAAACACATCCAGGTGGTATTACGTGGTACAGGAGGAGGGTTGATGTATTGATAGTAGAGGATGGCATACAGACACCTTACACAAGTCATAGAGTCCATCGTGAGTTTGATGAGAATTCTTTATTTTTCTAGTTATATGCAGTGGGAGACCTTAGTGGCTAGAGATTTACTAGTGAGGTATCTACGATAATATGGGTATGTCCAGGGTATCCCACGACCAGTTCTGAATATTCTTGCTTCGGGAATTGACAGGTAGTTTCAGATTAACATCATTAGTCCTTCCCGTGCCATTAGAGATAATTAAGTGGAGGTTCAACACCCCACGCAGTGAGAGGATGGTTACATGGAATGATACCTTATTGTTTCATACCATTGCATCCTCCCACATGTTAAGCATATAAATGATGTTGTGCCTGTAGATGTTGGGGCACCTGTCGATGACGTGTCATCGCCTCTACCTGATGTTAATGACCAACAACGTTTGCAGATGATTGTTGTTATTATGGATAACGTCATGGTTTGGTAAACCCAAACGGTGAGGTTTTTAACACATTATCGTGGATATCACACATAGTCTGTGAAGGACCTATTTAGCTATTTTATTTTACAATTGTACTATTTGTATATTTTTTGACTCAGACTATTTAGCACTGTAACTTTTAATGCATAATATTTTGTCGATTACATGTTTTGAAGATGAACATAACATAAGACATTACAACTAACATAAATTAACAATAACAAAACATGAAAACCTAGACAGTATCAGATGATTCTAGACGTTTCAACATCTTGATTATGTCCTTGATAGATCTAGAAATTGTCGCATCAAACTCGATCGGTCCCTTAGTTAGCCTACGGTGAAATGATTTCCACATAGATTTCAAGTCTTCGTCGGTCTTCAACTCAATAAGGTTGTATTTCACCCTTCCATCAATATCAATCCAATTTTCACAAAACTCGATCTTACTCACCTTTTTGTTTTTAGTGTCAGGCAATAAATCATTCAACGTGGATCTCAAGACGACGAGATATGTAGTGTCTTTCAGAAGTCGAAACTCTACAGGAGGTTTCACTCCGTTGAAGTACACTTTTGCTTTAATAAAAAATATAAGAAGAGACATTTTGAGATGTTTTTATCAACAACAGATGATCCATATTTATACAACTTTGGATTCATTCTTAACCACACAAAACGGTCGGCGCAATCACACCCGTACAAAATTATTGGCAAAATCGTAACCGTTAGAACTTTGCACTACCAAAAATTTAGCAGTGGTTGAAATTTCTGGTATCGCATGGTACTTTTTAAAAATAATGGTAATATTTCTAAGATACCAGACATTTTTAAAATACTAATATTACTACATACCAAAAATTATAAATGAACTATCGAAAATTTTCAATGAACTACTGGAATTTTTGTTCACACATTTGAGTCCAATTTTGTCAAAGGATATTTTTGGAATTAATAAATTATGTGGGAGTGCTAGATTTAATTTTAGGGGTGACGGGTTAAATTCTCATTAATTCTAGCATAATTGAGTTTGGTAGATTTGATATTAACAGAATTGAGTTTAGCAGAATTGATTTATGTTTGGATATATTTATGTAAAAGTGAGTTAAACAATAAATTTTAGTGTAAAAATCACTTAGAATCAATTCTAAAAGTAAAAATTACAAATTCTAATTTTAAGTAGAATCAATTTTAGAGGTAGAATCAATTCAACTTTTAATAAAACAAACATCTCAAAATTATCGAGAATCAATTCACACCTCTAAAATTAATTCTAAATCTTTCAAAAGTCAATTCAAACATGCTATTAGTGAACTTCTCTTCCTTCTAAATGGAAGGCACCATTCTTTAAGTAAATATTCTTGCAATATTTTTATTGAATTTAAAAG